ACAATGATGAAAAACTATAAAAAAATTGAATTGGAAAATTTTTTTAAATTACCACAAATTTGTTTTTTAAAATTTCAGAGCCTATATTCTTGCTTAAAAGATTTTTTAAATAAAAATGAAACAGACACTTTAGGTATAAAATTAGAAAGACCGTATGTTCCAACAATTGTTCAAAAATTACAAACAAACCTAAAAGGTTGCAACTATTTCTATAAACTTTTACTAAATACAAATGTTATTCCTACTTCAACAATAAAATGGCAGGAACTTTTAGATTTGGAAACAAACGATTGGCAAACAACATTTAGCAACGTCTTTTTACTAACAAATGAAACAAATTTACAGTGGTTTCAGTACAGACTATTGCATCGAATTTTACCTCTCAACTCTTACCTAAAAAAACTAAAATAAAAGATACAGACCTATGTTCGTTTTGTCAAGATTCAACGGAAGACTTAATTCATTTTTTCACATCCTGTAAAATAGTCCAAGAACTATGGGAAAGTCTAAAACTATTAATTAAAAATAATCTTAATATTGAAGTTACTTTTGAACCTAAAACTATTCTTTTTGGATTACACACTCACAAATATAAAGACGCCCCCAATTTAATAATACTTCTATCTAAATTTCATATATATGTTTCAGCAAAGAAAAAACAAACTTTGAACCTATCCTCACTGCTATCTTATTTTGGGTACCAATCTGCTATAGCTCATTATACCTCAAAAAAATTAGAAAAATGGTCAGTAATTGATTGTCTATTATCGGACGAATATCAACTTTTTAACATATTAACAGAGAATGACTACTCTACTTCTTTTATTATTAATGTTGCTATTATCTTGTATATTGTATATTATGTAATTGTATATTTGCAATATCGATAATTAAAATTGTATAGGGAAAAACATGTAAGGTAATAAGTCAGGGCCCCATCCCTGGCATTACCATATTAGATCTGGGTAATAAAGTTTTTTTTAAAAAAAAAAAAAAAAAAAAAAATCCTATTTTACTTGTCCAGAGGGTTCAAAAATATTTTTAAATCCAAGTCACATTTGAAAAGCTTTACGTCAGGCTTTTCAAATCATTTAGTTGAATTTTTCCAATTTTTAAAATTAGGTGTGTTAAGATGAAATTTGTATCATCAATTAATTGGAATATTGTAAAATAGTACAATTTGTTGACCAGAATAAAGATTGGGACATATTATTCAGTTACAACAAGAGTGGTATTGAGCCTTTAAGACAGCGAGAGCGGTAGTCAGTTGTATGGGTGGACGTGAGATATGCACACTATATCCCACCCACGGTCTTTCAGCTGTGTTAATCCTCTTGCATTCAGATTTATCCCCAATACTTAATACTTCTGGAAGCTGGAGGACTCGACATTCTGTGGATTGGTACATACCGATCCATTAGTCTTAATTTAATAAGGGGTTGGGTGGTCGAAAGGTTAACGCATGTGCGTTGCATCACAAGGTCTGTCATTGAACCGTATGTTAGTCGCGTACAATATAATTGTTCGAAATTTGATTAAAATATTAGTCATTAACTTTGATCACACGTAAACAATGTGTGTTTCGGCCAAACAAGTTTTAATTAGCCAATTGTAAGTAATTTGAAAGTTTTAATTGACCAAAGTCAATATTACAGCAGTAGTTTTCTGAAAGTGAAAGAGGCATTAAATTTCCTTGGAAAGGCGAAACACAAAAAAATATCCTATTGCAAATGGATTGTCATTTTAACATAATTAATGAAGGCACTAATTAATTAGACAATCCATACTTTGAAATTAAAATTAAAAATGGTTAAATTCCGTTTAATATTTACAAAAATATAATGAATTGAAAATTTGTTCGCATCCAGTATCCTCTTCAGAAAAACTAAACGTGGAATGGTCAAAACAATCCAGCACCACACAATCTTCGAGGCAATCTTTGATGAGCCTTTTTTCAATCCAACCGAATCGAAGCCGCGAGATTATCTACCTTTGATATTTTGATTAACTGGTTTTCTTAATTATATGAAATGGGTCAAACATTGTTTGTACTTAAAACAGCGGATTTTACAATCAAATATCTAAATCGTGCTAGTGTTTCAAATAATCTATCGGTACTATATTTGACACATAGGTGAAGGAAACTGGGAAAGGATATTGAAACGCAGGCTGATATTTAACCAAAAGAACTTTGTCATATACATAACAAGATATATTTCTTTTATTAACAAGTGTTTGAAATCATGTTTATCTAACATTTATATTGCTAATTACCATTTGTTGCACTGTATGTTTAATTCTGATATATTAGTTTTTAATTACCAAGATACTGGCATTAGAAACCTCAGTCTCATCTATCTTCTTATTGTCACGTTACCTGATTTTCTGCTCCTTTGTGCTAAATGTTATTTATTTGATTAATATAACAAAAGTTTATATAAGATATTGATTACAGTCATAATGGAGTACAAAATTATTTCCGCAAATCAAAATAATGGTCATATCTTATTTAAGATCTATGTATAATGAACAGAAGACCGGTTTCATATTTCGACTGAACTGTTTGTTCTTACCATAATACGTCTAAACAAAATCCAAATAACTTGGGCCCTCAAATTACACTTTAAAGTAACAATCCCACAAAGCCAGAATTTGGCATTTATTAATGACACGACTTTATGTTGTCTCTGGATGGAAGGGATAATTGTTAATTATCATGTTCTCCGCGGCCTCAAATGAAGTATTATCACATATTAGATGTTGCGGCCCTCAACCGTCGATTGGAAATATTTACCTTTAATTAGCATAACGCTTCGTAATTTGCTACGGTTGTTTATTCATTGGACAAAAAATGATCAAGACATTATACTTAAAAACGCCAGTGAATGGTAGAGTCCAGTGTATCGCGTAAAGTGCTAAATAAATGTCCAGTGTATCGCGTGAAGTGCCTAGGATATGTTCTTACTCCTGTTAGGTTGGTATGATCATGAATTATGCAATCGCTTAGAAACATTTAAAACTTATTTTGTATCGAATGAACATGGAAATCATTATGAATTTAAACAATAATTAGAACAATGCTACATATTTGTTGATTTTAGAACAATGCTATATATTTATTGATTTGAGTATCGGGTCATGATGCCTACTCATAATAAGGAACAACCAAAGACACCAGCCTGGCCAAACTTAAACACACAGGACGGTGTTCGATTACGGGAGCAGCTGGGCAGCTTTTGTCAAGAAACCAGTTTCACTGCGATAGTGAATATATATCGAGCTACAAATACCATTAAGAGATTAGCTTGGTTCCTGACCTTTTTGTTGTGTCTTGGATGGTTGACGGTGCAGTGTTATTTACTTTTAAACAGGTTAGACTAGTGTCATGTAACATTTTATTTGTAAGGTTTTATTCACTAACAGACCACAAACCTGCTTGATGTTTTTTGGTGGGGGCTGGGGGTGGCGGAGAGTGGCTGTACAGATTTTAGATTCCTGTTTTAGTTAATTATATTTAAAAAGAAAACAAATCGACATTTCAAATCAGATCAAGTCGGCAATATTGATTTTGATCGAAATTGAAGAGTGCCATTTTAAACTGACAGAAGGAGGAATGGGGTTCGACATCGAATTAGGTTGAGCTTGATTTTTATGTTACGAAACATGTCTTTTTGTATAACATTGTTTTTAATACGGATATTTTGAGTATAAGGTAATCTATATATATATTTGTGACTGTCGTTTGTCTGTCTGTCTGTCTGTCTGTCTGTAACATAGGCCAGGTGGCGTTAGTCTACCACTTCCTGTTTCGGAGTTATGAACCCCGAGCGAAGCCGGTCTGTTCGGGGTTGGCGGCTACACTAGGTCTGCCCCGAGTCTGAAATTTGGGGTATAGGATTAGCTCGGACCGGGGAGTAACATAGGCCAGGTGGCGTTAGTCTATAACTTCCGGTTTCGGAGTTATGACCCCCCGAGCGAAGCCGGTCTGTTCGGGGTTGGCGACTACACTAGGTCTGGCCCGAGTCTGAAATTTGGGGTATAGGGGTAGCTCGGACCGGGGAGTAACATAGGCCATGTGGCGTTAGTCTACCACTTCCGGTTTCGGAGTTATGACCCCCGAGCGAAGTCTGTCTGTTCGGGGTTGGCGGCTACACTAGGTCTGCCCCGAGTCTGAAATTTGGGGTATAGGGGTAGCTCGGACCGGGGAGTAACATAGACCAGGTGGCGTTAGTTTACCGCTTCCGGTTTCGGAGTAATGACCCCCGAGCGAATCCGGGTATCCTGCTAGTATGAATATAAAAAAGGATATGAAATCTTTTTAGACACAAATTGTTAGCCATTCAAGAAAATGCTCGTCATCGAACTCACCCAAGCCATTATCCCAATGAAAAAGTTATTATGTGAAAGACAACCCCATTTTAATAGTCGCTACTTTCTTCGAATCGTGAGGAAGAATAAGCATTATTTAATTCGGTGAGTTGTGGAAAGTTATGTTTACGAGATATTTTTTTATGGAATGTATTTGTTTTTCAATTAAAATAAGCTAACAGTCGTAGCTGTGTCATTGATGAACGGTTCGATACCTCCTTGCATTTTTAATGTACGTGTACAATTAGTTACTTTTAACATATTTTTCAGATTTTTCTTATATCCCTCCGATGTAAGAATAGAACTAAATAGCATGCCAGCTCTGGATTTTCCTAGTGTTACTGTATGTAACATGAACCCTATCCGATCTAATGCTCTTGATTCCCCACCATTTGACCAAATGCTAGGTTACCAAAGAGATAGATATTCCGAGAACAACCCATTATATGACGCTAGAAGGAAATCGTTTGGGCGACCTCCTGGTAAGACTATTTTTATATAGATTTAAAAAATAAAACGTTCGGTGTATTTAGTGATATTTATTATAGAGCTTTCAATAAATGATTGAATGTGTGTTGTCCGTAATGTAGTGTCTTTTCTCTTTTGTTTGCTAGAAAATCAGAATCCTAGAGATAGAGATGGAGAGTTTCGACATTTAGGAGACTTACAACCCCCAGAACAACTGTCGACCATTATTTCACAACCGAAATTAGTCACAGATACACAACAACTGGACACAGAAAACAAACAACCTCCAAAACAACTGTCGACCACTAATTCAAAACCAAAATTAGTCACAGATACACAACAACAGGAACCAGAAAACAAAGAACCACCCAAACAACTGTCAAAAATTACTTCACAAAGGCCGCTACTGACAGATACACAACAACAGGAACCAGAAAAAAAACAACCCCCCAAACAACTGTCGACCACTTCTTCACAAACGCCGTTACTGACAGATACACAACAACAGGAACGTTCAACGAGTAGTGACACAAAAAACACCAGCAATCAAACAACTACCCCAGAAAACGACAGTTTTGAGGATTCTATCAAAACTGACTTTAACCAGTGGGATATCCTAGATCAGCAAGAAGTAGATGGGTTCTATACCAATACAGATTCGGAGTTAGATGCTTCTTATAAATATGCTTATTTGTCAGTACAAGCAAATGAGAGTTTAGCTATTGAAGTCGGGCATTCGTTGAAGACCTTCCTAATTAACTGCAAATATGGTGGTTATCCATGTTCACCACAGTAAGTTATTTGTATGTACCTATATATGCCTATTATAAGAACCCGTGGAGACCTAAAGAAAACAGCCTGAAAAGATATACTACCATCTTCTTTAAACACGGATAATTCATATTTTTGTCGCCTATCTGTCTCTCTGTCTGTCACACATTTTGAGGGAACTCTGCAGCACCTGACTTAGAATGTCCAAACGTGGCGTAGTTATTCGCATGCTAATTGTCTTGACTGACCGTGATGCTGAGCATTTACCGCTTAAACTATAAGATTGGACGACATTACTCTGCTTCTGGGGCCGAATGTTCAAACTTATGGTGTATAGTTTCATAACACGAATACCTAGACCAGATTCGATGACGGACATGTTCTACTTAAGTTAAGCAGAGACAAGCAATTTGATTTGTCGATACATTTTATCCTAAATTTGCAAGGATGGCGAGGCTTGGTGTATACCATCGGTGAGATTCCAAAACCTCGTAACTCGGCATTTTTTTCGAAAATCACTATTTTGCATAACTCAATTTATTAACATGTATCAAAAAATCAGAGTTCTGCGATAATAGTTTTCATTTTATTAGCGGGGGACCAAACCCCGTATTACGATTGGTCTGATTTTCGGCAATATGTTATCGGCGACGACGTCAAAGGCCTTAAGCCGGTTTATATGACAAAAATTCGCAGGATAATTATAATATTATAGGGAATAAATGATATTTCCTGTATTTATGTTTTCGAGGTAAAAGTTATATATAGTAACGAAATAAGACAAAGGCGATACCAAGTCAAATAAATCATATTTATAGACCGGGAGCCCAGGGGGTTAACCTAGCTGAAAAGTGTCTGCTAGTGGTCATTCATAATTCCTGTGGTGGTACTGAAAAACTCCAAAGCTGTTTTAGGTGGTACGGAATTGAGCTAATCTAGCCTAGCTTTGGTCTGGAAATTAGATAACTCTTGTCAGGGATACTCCATCACTACAAATGTCTGGCAATTAAATAGCTCTGTCAGGGGTACCCCACCACTAGAAATGTCTGTCAGAGTGTTTTTGTAATACCTGAAGATGTGTGGTACATTGCTGTGCGATTTTCATGTGGTACACTTTTGAGCTAATCTAGCCTAGTTGGGGATCATGGCATTTTGGGCGTGGAATACCACACCCACCACCAGAAACCCGGCAGACTTACATTCTGATGATACCAGATATACATACATTGCAACCATATAGGAGAAAATTGGTACACTTTTCAGCTAGGTTAACCCCCTGGGCTCATGCTCTATTAGTGCCCATGTTTATCAGTTTTATGCAGTTTTACAAAAGCTACTGCAATAATAACGACAAACAATACATTTCTCGGTCAAAATTTTATAAATTCTGACATGAATCTTTGTTGCAGTTTTCAAGCAAAAAAATGTTGGGAAACCAGTCTGAAATTCTCATATTGTTGCCAATACCCTTCAAGTAACATACCCTACTGAACATCTAGACCTATCTGTGGGCAATATCCGTTAAGTAACCTACACCACTGAACATCTAGACCTATCTGTGGGTAACACCCCTCAAGTAACTTACATTACGGAACATCTAGACCTACCTGTGGACAATACCCATCAAGTAACTTAACCAACTGAACATTTAGACCTACCTGTGGGCAATACCCCTCAAGTAACTTACCCTAATGAACATCTAGCCCTACCTGTGGGCAATACCCCTCAAGTAACTAACCCCACTGGACACCTAGACTTACCTGTGGGCAATACCCCTCAAATAACTTACCCCACTAGACATCTAGACCTACCTGTGGGCAATACCCCTCAAGTAAGTTACCCCACTGAACAGACACACCTGTGGGCAATACCCTTTACGTAAGTTACCCTACCGAACATATAGACCTACCTATGGGTAATATCCCTAAGTAAGTTACTCCACCTAGCGTTTAGACCCACTTGTGGGAAATACCCCTCAAGTAACGTAACCCACTGAGCATCTAGACCTAAATATGGGCAGTAACTTATGTTATGAGGTCTTGCTTATTTATAATTCATCGAAATCTATCGTTTATTACCATTTTAGGCAATCACACTATCTAGAATCGTCATTTTGAAACTTCTAGAAACCATGCAAACCTCTGGAAACAGTGTTTACAAAAGAGTTGGAAGGTTCTGGGGGAGGGGGTTCTAGAAAAAGTTGGAAGGTTCTGGAAAGTTGTGGAAAATTTGAGAATGTTCCATAAGTTCTAAAATTTCCTCATTTAGCTATAATTTATGCAGTATGCCGTGAATTGGGCGGCATGGTATGCTTACTCTTTTTACAGCATCTGATACCATTTCTCACATGTAGCTAACATGTTCTACTTTGTGTTAGTATTTTGAATCTTGCTGCGGTTCAAAAAGGTATCATTCATATTACATTATTATAAGCTTTATGTAGAGGTGATGGGGTGGGCTAGGTTATAAAGGTCACTCTAACTCGAGGAAAGAGCCAACATTTATGGTTAGATTTTGAAAATCAAATTATCCATGCACTGATACATATTTAAGTTTCAGCCATGTAACTGATGACCCCACAAAAATCCCCATTTTTACGACGTGGTCGGACAGACTTTAGAACAATCTGACTTCGGGAAAGCCCCCAAACCATTTGGTTAGATTTTTTAAAATTATATTTTTCAAGTATAGGCCTTTCTGGTAAGTTTCAGCCATGTAACTGATGACCATTAGCCCCACTTTTAGGGCGTGGTCGGGCAGACTTTGGAACAATCTGACTTGGGGAAAGCCCTCAAATTTTTGTTTAGATTTTTGAAAATTATATTTTCCAAGTATGGATCTTTGTTTCTGTTAACTTTCAGTCATGTAACTGGTGACCATATTATTAACCCCATTTTTAGGGCGAGGTCTGGCAGACTTTAGGGCGATCTGACTTGGGGGAAGCCCCAAAAACTTTTGGTTAGCTTTTTGGAAATTATATTTTCCAAGTATGGATCTTTGTTTCTGTTAAGTTTCAGCCATGTAACTGATGACATATTATTAACCCCGTGAGGAGATATTGGGCGTAGTCTGACTTGGGGAAAGCCCCAGAAATTTTGGAAATGAAATGAAATGGGGTTAAACGTCCTACTGTTCTGCTTCGAAACTGGGCTAATGAAGACGGGCATACGCCATACAGTGTGCTATGAGGGAAATTTTGCCCGGGCAGCGGCGCTACGGCCTACTCTTATATCGAATTAAAACTGCCAAGGAGGGATCTTTTACGTGCACGCCAATGTGTACACGGGTCCTCGGTTTTTCGTCCCATCCGAACGACTAGACAGCTGTCCTTGCCAGGCCCTCCGTCCTGCATCACTGACAAGGGGAAACCACGCCGAAAAAACTGGATGAACTTTCTCGGCCAATGCAGGGATCGAACACCCGACCTCCAGGCTAGCGAGCCAGCGTCTTACCAACTTAGCCACGTGATCCCCCAGAAATTTTGGTTAGATTTGTGAAATATTTACTCCAGCTATGGATACCTTTGCTTCTAGAAAGTTTCAGTCGTTTAACATATAACCTAATTTTTGGCCACTTTTTTGGGGTACTTTAAGGTGCTACTGTGGCTATATACCCCAGCAGTGCCCGATCTGACCAGTTGATTTTTACTCGTATGGACACCCACTAGGGAGGGGGGTCAAACCTTTTGTAACTGATGACCATATTTTGCCATTAGCTACTGGACAATAATTATACACTAAGGATCATCACTATTGTTTTGGGCGCATGCCCCCCCACCCAATTATAGAGCCGCGCCCATTTCCTCTTTGTGTGTCTGTGTGTCGCCTACAGACAACAATTCTTAATGGATCGTCTTAAAAACCTTTCATACTTATTCCTTATACCCTAAGGATGGCCTCTTTTGTATTTGGTACATGCCCAACGCGCTGGGACCGAGCCAAGCCCGATTTTTGTGTGTGTCGCCTATAGTCCAGAATTCTTAACAGATCCTTTTGAAACTGCATACTATCTATTTCCCATAGCTTAAAGACGCCAACTATTGATTTTGGTGCATATACCGACCCCCCCCCCCCCCCGACAATCAGAGCCACGCCCAATTTTTGTGTTTATTGTCTGAAGGCTACAATTCTGAATGGATTATCTTGGAACGTATACAGGCCGCATTTCAGAATGGAACTTGGCATATGTATTACTTATAGCCTAATGGCGACAAATGTTGATTTTGGCGCATGTCCCGACCCCCAGGGGCAGAGCCACGTTCAATTTTGTATTTATCGTCTGAAGGCTACAATTCTGAATGGATTATCTTGAAATTTGTATATTTATTCCTTATACACGAAGGCTACAATTCTGAATGGATTATCTTGGAATTTGTATATTTTTTCCTTATACACTAAGGACGGTAACTATTAATTTTGGTGCATGATCCCCCCCCCCTCCCTTCTCGGCGGTGCCATGCCCGCTTTTTGTTAATATTTTTTCTGTAAATGATATACAGGTTGCAATTATTAATAGATTTGGATCCAGTTCGGCATGATCAATCATGTGGTTATACCTATTTATATTGGCCCATGTCCAACCGCCAGGGGCAGAGCCACGCCCAACTTTTGTGTTTTATGTCTACAGGCTTGAATAGTAACTATTTATTGTGGTGCATGTCCTGATCCCAGGGGTGTGGTACCACATTCACCTTTTTCATATTTGTTTTGTCTGTAAATACATGTTGCATATATTAACAGATTTTGTCCAAATTCAACATATAAATCATTTCAATAACAAGGTGGTATCTATTTATATTGCTCCATATCTAACCCTAGGGGCAGAGCCACGCCCATTTTTTTGTGTTTATCATCTACAGGCTGCAATTCGGAATGGATCATCTTGGGACTTTGCATATTTATTCCTTATACCGTGAAGACCGCAACTATTTAAATTTGGCAAAACAAACCCAACGCCTAGCCTAATTGCCCTTTGCCATATTGCAGTCATTGCAGCTAGTATTTCATATTTAATTCTCTTCATTTTAAAAAGTACCATCTCAATGTGGATGTTGCAGCGTTAGCGATGCTCTGGTTATTGTATTAGTTTGTTACGTTGTAAATGAAACCAATTATTCGGTAGACATTTTCTTTTTAAATTTTGACGTATATATTTTTCATGTGTTACAGAAACTTTACAACTTTCAATAATCCCACATATGGAAACTGTTTTACATTTAACCATCCAGAAAAGGGGGCTTCATTAACTACTACGTTTCCTGGACCTTTATTTGGTGAGCAATATTTATTTTGTTACAGGGACGTTGTGAGGTATATTATTTAGAGACATATCCGTGCAAAGTCCAATAGTCGAGCTTTTTTCGAAATTGCGCTTTAAAATGTTTGATTCACCAAAGACTACCGTGTATTATAAAATTATGCAAATGCAGTCTCACTATTTTGTCACACAGCGGAAAAAGACCAAATGTGAGGTAAACGTTTACTAATGCTAGACGTAAATCCACTGCCTGTGCTAGACCCTATTTTGAGGAAAAAAGGGGGGTTGGAACTGAATGCCAAGCAGTACTTATGGAAGCTTTTATGAAAAATCTTTTTGTCTGTTGGGATGGGCATGAGGTTGGGCTAAGAGGAAAAAATAGAATTTTGGAAATTTGCATAATAATGTAGTCACGTGACGTCATGGCGGCCATTTTGGATTTCTCATTTCTCACTAAAGCTAACACGAAAACGAATTTTTCTCCATGAAATACTTAAAAGATATTGTTTTTTTCACTGGATTTTGATAAAGATATAAAAAATGAACAAAAATATCAATAGCATCCATGAGCAATGCAGCCACGAACACGCGCATCACGTCTCCCGCTGCCATGACCACGTGCGGATTGCAATACCTTGTTTTTACTTTCACTTTCATCCCCAAGTCCTATATCATTATCAATATAGTCAGTCAATAGATCTACACGTTCGGGACTCAGGAATTGCTACGTCTTTTACGATCCAGCAGGCCAGCATTATTATCAACATCAGAATTATTGTCAGAATCTACTGCAGACACAGGGCTATCGTGTTCACATTGGGCTTATTCATCATGCACGGGAGACATAGCTAGCCATGGGCGGAACGTCGCGCAACAAATCACACACTTCATAATACCAATCACTGTCCTGACTACTATCATTATCAAGTAACTGGAAACGAATTATGTGTATCACCCGCCTCGAAATTGTCCACGTGTTGGTCAGCAAGACGTCATTCACGACTTCGTCGAGAGTGCATCATCTACGTTGTCACTATGCACTCCGCCATTTTACGGTTTGCCGCTTTGAAACACGTGGAAATATGTTCTAGTGTATAGAAAATACAATAGATGGCACTTGCAGTTACGGTACTAATTTTAGCGAGGGCTTTACTGAGTACACGGTAATACCGGGTACGCGTATTTTACCGACATTTTATAATACCCGGTACTACCGGGTGTACGCAGTGAAAGGGTTAATCACCAGTCTTTAAACTGAAAACTAATTAATGTGGTGTTGTATTCTTTAAAAGTTGAAATATACACCTCGTCTGTTTCATCGTAAATCGCCGTGTTTTCTTCTTGGTAATAGCCAATAAACCACTCGATTATACCTCACCGACAGTTTGAAACAGCAAATTTTCCGAATAGAATATTGCATAGCGAATGCCCTTCTTAAACATGCATTATGCACATTATAGAAGAGCCAAATCTGCCCTTTGCAGGTCTTTCGTTAGGCATGAAATGTTATATAAATTATTAATTAACATTAATTAACTTACCAAGACCATAATCAACCGTCGATGCCATCGGATGGCTCCGACATTTAATAGATTAAATACGTGGTTGATGAAATAAACGTAAAATTGGATAATCGAGACTTTCTTTAGTATCGTAACAATTATATTCGAGGCTAGACAAAAATTGTATCGCCAATAGCTTGGCTCAGAGAGAAGTAATTTGACTGAAATTTTCAGCATACTCTCTTTTCATTATCGATATTTTAATTATTATAGCGCGAACTGTCACCCTTTGTCTAATCTTACCTAATACCGCTTTAATTTTCCTGGTTAGTGCATAAAAGTACGACTTTAAATACAATTTGATTTCATTTCCAATTGGAAGAACGTTCACTATCACCGAATCGTGTAACCTTTTTATAATGTAAATGTCAGGCTTCTTGGAGATATGTTTAATGGTTTTTTTTAGGTCTTTCCCTGGAGTTATACCTTAATCAGGACGAATACATACCAGCTCTATCTCCAGAAGCAGGTGTCAGGGTTGTTGTTCATCCACGAAATACCATGCCATTTCCTGTAGACAATGGTATCTCTGTATCACCAGGTTTCGCAACATCTATCGGATTAAATGCAGTAAGAATATATTATATTTACAAGATAGCCACGCAAAGCGTGGAGATACACCCACACAGCAGCTTTGTCTCGACAAATATAGCCATAGTCAGCAGATTATCCGAAAGGACAACTTTGATGCTATTAAGAAATTTAATCTCTAACGTGTTCACAAACTTTTCCGGAAAAATATATCCCTGGAAATCCAAAAGGGAGGTCCCTCTGGAATAGATTATCGTCAGGCGCTGAATATCGGAAGAGTTCATCCTCCCATAACCCCAATGTTTTCCACTACATTTGAAGACAATATGTAAAAACTGTAGATTCTATCACATTGACAAGGTTTTCGGCAAAAGGGAGCCAGCTTAAGAACATACCGTTGAAGAGCACTATCACTAAATTTGAAGAAGATCTGTTTAAAACTCATCGCGTCGACAATGTATTCAGCAAAGGGGACGTAGCTAAGGAACAGAAGGTCACAGGGCGCTAAAATCGATAGGCTTCGTCAACTCGTGTCACCCGGGGCTTCACACCAAATTTGAAAGCAATAATCCTATGGAGTTAATGAGAATAACAAGGGCAATAACTCATGAAGCAGAAAATTGCTGAAGGCTGAAAATCGATAGGAATCATCTGCCCAGGTGCCCAAGCTTCATGCTAAGTTTGAAAATGATCCTTCAAACATTCTTGCCTCGATCGCGTCGACAATATATTTTCACCCTTTTAAGGCCTGCAATCAATTCACCAAATTTGAAATGTGGGGCATACAGGTAAAGTGTTGACATACCAGTCGTTGACATTGGCAGTCGTTGTTCAATAGTAAGGGTGGAAAGGGTGTATTTGCATTGACTTTTATGAACTATATTGTCATTTTTTTAAAGGTTGAAATGATAAGATTGGAACCTCCACATTCAGATTGTGCAAACAAAGGTTTAATAAATGATCTTTACATGAAGAATTTGAAGACAAATTATTCCAAGTTGTCGTGTATGAAATCTTGTTATCAGATGTTGATTATTGAAGAATGTAACTGTTCCGAACCTTTTTATTACGTGGAAAATAGAGAAAATGTGTGCAACATGACCAATAATACTATAGGTAATTTGTGTGTACAAATGTTTCACTTATACCCACCTCATGATTATTATCCGTTAAGTTTGTTTATTTTTATCAGTGAGTCGACTTTAACTATTATAAAATGACACTAAACAAAAAGGAATTTATATTTTGTAAACTTTTCCGAGACTGAAAATTAATGTTGATCTTTTCAGCACAGTGTACACAGAATATAAAGACATCAAGACAAGCTGATTATGACGCATGTGACGATAAATGTCCGCAGGCGTGTTAGTGAGTATCATATATCTATTGTTTTAGCTGTCTTGGTTCAGATGTGATGGCCAACCTCTCGTCTGTATTAGCATCCTATAAAGACCATTTATATACGTTAATTATTTTTTTGTTTAAAAAAAAAGCAAATGGTTCTTAATTTTGGTAAACAGTATATTGTACTTTAAATTATGGGAAGTATTTAAATTTATTCTTGACTTGCAGCTGTTATATATTCATTTATTCTGTTTATTACTTTTATGACGGTCAACGTGGTCTTTGCGATAAGATAACTAGTCCGTGTCCAGTGGCGTGCAGACGTTTGCTGATGCCCGTGGTCAACTCGAATTCCTTGATTGTATGTCCAAGATGCTTAGAAATGTCAGGAAAAACTGAACTTAAAATATGTAAAACCAGATGAAAATAAACTTCCTTTCAATTAACGTATTATCAGCCATATAAATTGAGTTATGTACCATAAATGAGATCGCTTGGCAGAACATACTTCAACTATTTCATATCTACAGGTTCTCTGCTGTAGTAAAACACTAATCCACATTCACGTGGGTCTGTGGGACAGTATGGTGACCTGTACAGCGAAATAAACAGCAAAAATTCGAACTTTCAATGCATTTCCGGAGCCGTCATCCCCTCTGCCCACCCTATCTCTGCACACCACTGTAAGTGATTATCCCTATGGTTTGGTAAATGTTTTTATTCATTCCACTTTAATGTCTGCTCAGCCATTACTGAAACCAAATCCCTTTATTTTACCTGTAACTTATAACTCATTTATATTTCTTCCTTTCAGTGAACAAAGATATGAAAAATCTATATCTATGGCGTCGTGGCCCTCTGATGCTTACGAGGTAAATACTAACTTATCTAGGTCAACTACAATAATCGCCGGGCTTCCGCGTCTGGTTCTCCATTGTGTCTTCTTTTTTTTTAGTCTTTTCCATTTCCAGTGCAACACATTATGGGGGCTGCGTGGACGAATGGTTAAGGCGTTCGTGTTGCATCATAAGGCCTGTCATTGAGTCAAGTGGCGTGGTTTGGATTCCGCGCTTGTACGTGAGTTTCTCCGGGTCCTCCGGGTTCCTCCCACTGCTAAAGACTCCTACGCGCAAGCTAATTATTGATTTAAAATAGAACCATATGTTAGTCCCGACATGGCCTAGTTTGTGTCGAGTGGACGTTACCCTCTCTCTCTCTCTCTCTCTCTCTCTCCCCAGCATTTAAAACAACTGTGTGTTACACTTCCTGCAGGAGGGTACCCGAAAGAATAGGTAGCTGGTATAACGTCCACTGGACACAAACTAGGTCATTTCGGGAACTAACACATTGGACAGGCGATCCTACTTCATGTCAGGTACAACCAGGGATTCGAAACAACGAGGATACATATAATTACAAGTATAAGTCTAATGAACTCAAAAATAAAACATCTTTATGTCTCCACAACTCAGCTCCAGTTCGAGCGGCTAAGGCCAGATGTTGGGATAATTGTCATCCCAAATGCTTTATGACCCCAATACTTCACACCAAATTTGAAAAGAATCCGTTATAAACTATAGGCTGTATCGCATTCAAAAGGTTTTCAGCAAATGGAGCTTAACTCTGGTATGGGTGTGTCCTCTCATGAACACAATGATTCATAACGAATTTTAAATGAATTCGTCACGCTTAAATATGGGCGGCCGAAAAGAGTGTGTTACTTGCCTTGATATCGTGATGACATTTCAAAATTCTTCTAAATGTTGGTTTAATTTAATTGAATTTTTTAAAATCTGTTCTTTTCATTCAAGAAACAACTAACGGATAGAGTGCAAAAGACCAGTAGTACTTTAGTAAATCATAAAGACTTTAAGTAAGTATAGAGCATGTATCTTTGGCAACGTATATGTATTCACATTTGGACGTTGGGGGCTACAATGTAGCTTATGTCTCTTTATAAAGTAGACAACTTAACAATACATCTGTTTCATCCCCCACCCTACATAGAAATAGTGTTATTGTGTCCAAAAGATCTGACGGGAAGCTATCTAGCCTAAGCAGAAAATACTCATCACCCAACTTGATCAAAACATTTACATAATGAACAACTACGCCAGGTTTGAACATTCTACCTCAATAATTAAAACTATAATGTCATGTCATTCAACCAATGAAAATGATGCTTATCTCTGCAGAAAATGCTCATCGTCTAACACAGTCAAGAAATCCATCTGTTGAATAACTACACCACATGTGAACATTAGAAGCAACTATATTTAACGTCATTGTGTCTCAAAGGGTTTAACGTACAGTCAGACCAACGGACAAATGCGTAGCCTTAGTATAAAATACTCAGTGACGGACGTTTGAACATACTACCTCAATAAGAAGCAGACTTATTTTGTCCCAAGAGGTTTGTCAGACAAAAGACAGCTGCTTAGTCCACAGTCCACTTAGTTTAATTATTCAACTAAACTAACATTTACTTTGAAGCGGAATTGTGCCCCAAAGTCTCGACCAACAGACTAAGTAAATTTGCTCATCATTGAACTCGTTCAAATGGTAATACGTATGCGAACATATTTAATAGTGCGTGTAATTAAAATCAGTCTCTGTCATTTTCAGGACAAAAGAATTCGTAAAGCTGCAAGTGTATTATCAAGAGTTAGTGTTTAAAAGAATAGAAAATACGAAATCGTATGAGGTAAGTTATGAATATTTATGTGTAAACAATATTTAATTCCAACTGGATGAAAGGGCCAGGGAACAGGCATAAGCTCTACCACTCCCTCTGCTCTTACAAAGGATTATAAAATATAAGACATGATTTAATGAAAAGTAACCAATAGAATTAACACAATTTAAGATAAGAATACTTTAGCATACAGAAGCTAAAGCGCTTTGATTTGGGTTAAATAAAGTGTTCAATTGGGAAGATCTGATATTTTATTTCGAACATTGATGAAACAAAATCAAAAAAGATTAAATGACATGTATTTCTAATATATTTCAGTCAATGAATCTGATCAGTGATATTGGTGGTCAGTTGGGTCTATGGTTGGGTTTATCAGCTATAACTATTGGTGAACTTATTAGCTTTTTGCTTATGGTATGTAGGGCGATGTACATCAAGCTATTACCAAGGAAGATAACTCCTGTGACCAAAGTGAAGCTGGACAACATGCGTTAAACAAACAAAACACCAAAACATATAAAAAAATATATAATTTACCTGCATTGTATCTGGTGTATTCGTTCTTTGAATGGTTATTATTCAATCAAATTATGTTGTCATATTATTGACATTCCAAAGGGAATGTATAACGTGTGTTTTAAACATGAGACAAAAAAATATTTATGCATACAAAATTATTATTATTGTTATTATTATCTAATAGGCGGCAGGACGATTTACCCAATACTACCCAGTACAACCTAATACTACCATATACTACCACATTATTGTGAAAAAAACTTGACAGAACCATTCTGTTATATAAAACAAAAATTGAGTTAATTTAAGGAAAACTTGCAAAAAATGTATTGCTAAAGTGATGGTCGATGTCTCACCATTCCCTTGTTAACCCAACTACGGACAAAAATTAACCCATACCACCAAAAAGCAATCTGAGATAACAGTATTTGAATAACAACACCCGGAATTGATGTTATTGCGTTTAGCCTGCTCTAAAAGACGACAGTGCATCCATTTCAACATGGCTGCAATCTGCTATCATTGGGTCGTCCTGTTCAAATACAGTCCATTATGGGATATTAATTCTTCAAACAAATGTTGTGATATACCGCTTGTCATGACACAGTAAATAGGGGGTAACTCGGGATAGGCCAGTTGAGCACTATTGAATGTTAACTTCTTTGTTGCATAAAATACTGGTGATGATCATGAACTTTTTTGTGGTAAGGCGAACCAACTGAAAAGGGGCACACTACCTGTTCGACGAGTAAACTGAGGTAAAAATTGTTCGTCTCTCCTCCATTCGCTCTTCTAATTTACTTATTTGGAAAGTCTATGCATTACATTCAGTCTATGCATTCCACTTAATTACTTTATATAACACGTTAGGGTCATAAGGAAAGCCTGGAAGGTGATCATTTTTTATTAGGATATCCTTGGAAGCGAAAGTTTAATGTGTTCATCCTCCCAATGCTCCAAACCAAATTTGAAACAAATCCATTAAAGACTGTAACCTCTATCATGTCGTGGATGGTCGTGAACACTGAATATCAAGGTGTTTGAAAAAGAGGGGTTAACCGTTTGACGAGAAAGTGACAGGCCGCGGAATATTCATAAGGTTTACCCTATTATCCTTCACTCGAGATTTGAAAAAACAAATTGTTAACCTATATCGCGTTCACAAGCTTTCAGGTAAAGAGGTGGGCGGGGGGAGGGGGGTCTAGGTCTGATCCGGAATAGAAGGTCGTGAATGCCGATGATTGATTGAATCTGTACTCTCCCCAGTTAAAAACTATGGCCTCTATCGCGTTCACAAAGTTTTCGGAAAAGTGGACACAAATCTGGAACGGAAAGACGTGGAACGCAGAATATCGATAGACCAAATTTGAAAAGTTGTGGAATGTTGAATATCGATAGATTTGACCATTGGGGAACCCAATGATTCATATCAATTTGAATCGTTTTTACAATGTTTTCGGAAAAGAGGGCATAACTCCAGAATGTCGACAGGGTTGTCCTCTTATGACCTCAAGGCTTCACGCCAAATTTGAAACAAATCCTCTGTCGTTTGTGGATCAGCCATTTCAAATTGACATGTGAAATGAGTTGTGCTTTGTCCATTACAAAACACAGAGGTTAAAATATTCACTGTGTCTTAAATATTGGATATCGGCAGACCGTATACTATGTTCACGGTAAGATAACATTAATATTGATTGAAATAGAACGATACTGACTTCTAATGAATGGTTTTAATTTCGGATATTATGGATAATTTTGAGTTAGAGATTTGCGCCCTTTAAGGCCTAATATACTCTATCTCAATATGGACATTTTTTTATGTAAGACATTTTTTTTATATATTTGTTAGTTTATTTACACATTAAAATGTCAGCCACGCATTTATTAATGATCTTGCGATTTCTAACAGTTCACCATTCACAATTTAAGTGTTTTGCATAAAAATCTAATTAATTGGCAATATATAAAGGCAATTATTAATTTAGAACATATAACGATGAGGTGACACGAAGTTCAACATCATAATAATACTAAGTATGTTGTTTAGACGAGCACTTGATGTATCCTCGTTTTCCCGAAGCCTGAATTGAAGGACAGTTAAACACTGATTCGATCTAATTAGCTTTCGGGAATGAGAAAATTAGAAAATAAAATTAAGAGGTAACAGCGAAAAACTAGATGTGACTCCCTTTGGTAAATGTACGTTAAATATTTGAATTATTCGGTTATGGATTCGGTTGCCCATGAGTAGTTTCAGTTATATTTGTTTACTTCTAGCTGTATATATGTATATCCCCAGTGGTTACCTCTTTAGCAATTAATGTGAGTTGCTATCTATAAATGTATTATTATAGATAAAAGTTTTAAATGGAAGTAATTAATGATCCCCACCCTGTTTAATGGCATCTGTTTAGTTAATCGTGTACACTGTACACAATCATCGGGCAATTGATATTTGTATGCAGTATTGAAGCTACACAAATATTAAACTCACGATCATTATACGAAGGGAAGAACAGGTTGTTATCATCTAGATAAAATCAATGATTCTATACACACGTATAAAATATACAATTACTTATACTTAGATACTAAGATCAATGCAATGTTTTGCATGATTTCGTCAATAGTAGGTTATATTGTACTGGTTTGTTTTTAGAGAGAAAAGATATCATTTATTTGGATAATTTGTTTTGCCGCTATATACAAAATCAATAAGCAACTAATATATTCAATGAATGTTCATGTAGGATTTGCGCACTTTAAGGCCTAATATACTCTATCTCAATATGGCCATTTTTTTATGCAAGACATTTTTTTTTATATATTTGTTAGTTTATTTACACATTAAAGATTCCCCTTCCCTGCCTGTTTTTAAGAAAAAGTTAAAGACCCACCTTTTTAAAAGCCATTTTAATTGCTAAATGCTTAAGCTTTTTCAGAGTTTACTTTTTTATTATTGTATACCATATTTTATTCTAATTGTGCAATGTTCTTATTATTGAGATGTTTTATATTTTATACCTTTACAATAATGTAATAGCGCCATAGAGCAATCTAAGTATTGGATTATAGGCGCTCTATAAATAAATTATTATTATTATTATTATTAAAATGTCAACCACGCATTTATTAATGATCTCGCGATTTCTAACAGTTCACCATCCACATGGGGTCGGGAGTGGTTGCATTATAACGAGAGTAGAAACTGAAAACCCGTTGAGATTATAAATAATTGTCCAAAACATCATCATGCATATATTTATATGATTATATTCCAACGCTTTGTGGATTCCGCCCACACGGTTAAACAATAAACATTTGTATGGTGATGTCAGGGCCGTATTAAGCGTACATGGGGCCTCTGGCTGGAAAAGGTCAAGGGTACCTTACATCAACAGTGAAAAGAGTGAATACCCCGGCGCATGCCCCCGGGTTTCTTTGCCATAGATGCGAAAATTTGATGGCCCCATTGTTAAACTCTACCTTAATATGTGACATATTTATTTATGTTACAAAATCATTTTTAGAACTAATTAACATTTGGAGGTAGCATGCAGCTCAGTCAGCATCTCTTTAATCCGACCCTGGGTGATAAAATTGTTAACGACATCACTCATTGTGTCGTTAGTGTTTATCCTTGCTTTTAAACAAATTGTAATAATTTGTACGACTGTTAGGTCCATTTATTGTAGTCCCGAACAACTATCTGAAGTTCCCTGGTACCTTTTTTTTAAACAAAACAACAAAAAAGAACGCCCAGTTGCCCGTTGGAATAGAAGCATTCCCCATCTGTCTGGATAACATGACAATTCACTGCTATACTTTCGAATTCGTATTGTTTTCTTGCTGTGTTTTAATTACCCCCTGTAGCAAAGTTTACAACCACTTTTAAAAAATTGGAAGTGGCGGACATATATAAAATGTGTAATAATATTGCTAGAATTTTTGCTCTTGAAATAAGATGCCTTTATATTTCATTAATTAATATCTTTGGCAAATTAGTAATTTCAAACATATTCACATATATAGTGTGCACTAAATCAACTTAGTCTGTAATTGACAGTTGACATATAAAAAAGAGCTCTTTATCGAAAACATATGTCAATTATTTACCACCAGAATTACACGTGAGTGGAATTATTCTAATTGCATCATTTGATTTAAAGTAACCAATCATTTTGTTAATTACACAAGTTCAGGGCCATGATCACGCTTTATGGTGCATGATATTCATTTACCTTTAAAAGAAACCGGGGAACCCTGTAAGTCAGACTTGCATTAGATTCCAGAGATCGAGGGTACATCTGAGTTCCTAGACAGCCGAGAGGCTGGATAAGGTGGAAAAGTGGTTTTAGCTATATAGTATTATAATTTGTGCTATGCTTGTATACCTGTATTCAGTTATATGCTATATAAAATGTAGAAGCGAACTATGCATTATTGTTCCTGGTAAGACAAACGTCTTAAGAAACTGGAAGAAGTAAATACACAACGTGAAGCAGAAGTAAAGACAGCTAGAGACAAATTCTAGACGATCACAAGGCTACAGAAATATGTAGTAAGAAAAGATGCATGGGTCGTACGTAGGATGTGGCGACCGGTTTCCCATAGACGCTCTCCACGTCAGACAGAAGACTTATGGTGCTACAAATGTCCCGGTTAACATTTTCAAACGGCTAAAATATTTTGAGCTGAAACTTTCAGATAGTGCAAATAGACTGCCTATTCACATTTTGGCAGTTTTTAATTTCTTTTTTAATAAGCTATCGACCCCAGAATATATATGCATCAAAAGGAACAAATAATGTCTAATATAAATATTGTTATTCATCTTGATTTATAAAACGACATCCAACAATCTGTTTCTTGTGTACATTATCAGATTGGATATTGTAATTTTGTTTCCCGATGTGTTAGATAATGCACAGATCTAATCAAAATAATATCAGAGAAATAATCTTCACTTTACAATAGAATTAGTTATGGTGTGTATATCGAAAAAAACGATTCATTAATCAAT